TTGGGATGCCAGAGGGCCCCGTTTCAGATCCCACATATGAGGGCCAGTGACACTGCCCTCCACAGCTAAGATGCTGAACAACAGCTCAACCTGGAGCTGGGCTGCCGTGAGTCGCCGGCGACGGCGTAGGCTGCAGCCCCTGTGGCAGTGGGTTGCCATGGGCTACCGTGTGTAGCCAGCAGCCAGCGTGAGCGGCCAGCAGCCGCAGTGAGTGGCCGTCCAGAAGCCGGCGACTGATCTGCCTCGGCCGGGAAGAGCGCAATGATGGTGCCAACTTGGGCCAGTGAAACAACGTCCTCCACAACTAGATTGAAGAACAAAATGACAGCAACTTGTCTGTTCCCCTTCCCCCAATTCCCCAATAAAAAAATCCTTTAAAAAAAAAAATTTTTAAACTTTTGTTCTTCACCAAAAATGAAAAGGCAATTCATAGTCTGGGAGAAAATATCTGCAAAATCAAGTATATGACAAAGGACTTGTATCCAGAAATACATAAAATACTGTTTAAAAGTCAGAAGTCATACAACGAAATATAAAAAGAGGCAAAAGATGTTTACAGACATTTTTCCAAAGAAGGTATATTAATATACAATCAGCACTTGAAAAAAACACTCAATATCATTAGCCATAAATAAAATAAAAACCACAGCAAGATACCTACCAGGCTGATTAGGCAAAAACAACTTGGCAGTTTCTTAAAAAGCTAAATATAGACTTATGGTTCAACCCAACAATTCTACTCCTAGGTATCTATACCCAAAAGAAATGAAAACATGTCCACCCAAAGCCTTGTACACGAATACTCACAGGAGCATTACTTATAATAGCCAGAAACAGAAAACAATCCAAATGTCTACTGACTTAATGAAGGAAAACGCAAAATGTGGTTTACCCTTACAAAGGAATACTATTCATCAATAAAAAAAGGAACAAAATGCTGATACATGCTACAACACGGATGCAATTACCAAGATTATAAGAACAGTGTTGGTGAAAGTGACAGTGATGCAAGAATATCACTGAGCTATAAATGGGGACACACAAGACACCAGTAATGAGTAATGATAAGTACAGTCTATATACCTGAGATTCAAAGCAGACCAAGGTCCTGGTGTGTCAGTTCCCTGCCCTCCTGTCCTATGATGTTGTCCTCCATCCTCCCTCAGCCATTACTGCATAGTCATATCCAGACCTCATCATTTCCAGTAACTAAAAGGCCTAGGTTCTATATATCCCACTTTCTACTACCTCTCATGTTTATAGCTCCTCATTCTACTATCCCAGCTCTGACAGTCCTTAGATCTCCAATCCATCCATCCTATGATTTCTTTACAGTCATTATATCCTCTTTACTCAGCTCCTATGGTCAATGATTACAATCACTCTCCTGTATAAAAGTGTGACTACCTTGACCTTCTCTCACTCATACTCACTTAGCAAAACTAATACCTTTTTAAACCCAGATCTCACTCTACCTCCATATTTACCTACCAACATCTCCAGCTACAATTTCATGTCTTCCCATATTACCATAAATGAGCCACTCATATGCTAAACCAATCCCTCCCATTTGTATACAAATTCCCGTTCTTTAATCTACTCAAAAACGTAACCTATTTCTCCCCTACATCAATTTTTCCACTCATTACCATGAAACTATGACGTCTTGCTCAAATTTTTAAAAGCCTTTTTTCCCCTGATTCTATTTCCCTCAACAATCTACCATTCGATTTTTTATTTTGCTCCCCTTTGTAAGAAAACTCCTCTAAACTATTGTTTATACTTATTCTCTAATTCCTCTTCTCCCATTCTTTTCATCTTTTCTGAATCCACTGCAAATAGGCTTTTCCCCCCACACTATTCGCCCCAAACTATCCTTTTCCAAGACAGAAACAACTCCTAAGCAAGTGGTCAAATCTTAGTCATTATGAACCACTTTAACAGATCATCTAGTCTGAAGATATTATACCATCTAACTTATATCTCTAGTCTGGAGAAATAACTAGCCACTGACTATTTATCATCTCTACTTAGATGTCTACTACATACCTAAAAACCTGTATTTCCAAAATTGAACTGCTGTTCCTCCCCAGTAACTGCTTTACCACAGCCTTTTCCATCCTGGTTGATAGAAACACCATCTCTTCAGCTGCACAGGCCAAAAATTTTAAGAATAATACTTGATTCCTAGCTTTCTCTGACACCCTCAGTCAATCCATTAGCAAATCCTATCAGCTCTACCTTCAAAATAGATTCATAACTGTTCTATTTCTTACCTCCTCTACCGCAAACTACCCTAGTCCAAGTCACCGTCATGTTTAACTAGGGTTTCTACAACAGCTCCCTGACTGATCCCTTCACTTCTGCTTTCAATTCCTACATGTATCAGCCGTCTGCCTCCTCAGAATCCTGCAATGACTGACATTTCCCACAGGATAAATTGCAAAGGCTCTACACAAAATGTTTTCTCTCTGATCTCATTTCTTTCTTCTCTCCAATTTCATCACTTTGTTATTGCTATCCTAGCCTCATTCCTCAAACATGCCAGGGAAGCTCCCTAGGACTGGAATGCTTTTCCCCTGCAGGACCCTGTGGTTAACTCCCTAGCACCCTTCAAGTGCTTGCTTAAATGTCACTTTTTCAATGAGCTCTAATCTGACCACTCTATTTAAGCGGCACACCAAGCTAACCCTTTACACTTCTTTCAAAAATCTCCATTCCCTTCAATCTACTCCACATTACCTTTTTTTTGGAGTACATACCACCTTTCACATATTAAATAACCCATTGCTTATTTTGTTTATTGTTCATCGTCTGTCAATGACTGTTCGAATGTAAGCCTGACCAAAAAAAAAGGATCTTTATCTGTTTTGTTCAGTGCTGTATCCCCAGCATCAAGGAAAATTCATGGTACAGTCAGTGCATAATAAATATTAGCTGAATGAATAGATAAGAAAATGGAGGCTCACAGAAGCAAAAGTCCTTTTCAAATATCAAAGGGCTAACTTCAAAGCCAATGCTATCAATCAAAGGCCATTCTGCCTTATCTATTAAATGTAACAGTAACTTGTATAATTGAAGGTATTTACACTTAGTAGAGCCTCTACTAATCAAAATTGACTGTTATAACAAGTTTTCTTTAAAAAGAACCAAGAATTTTCTTTAAACAAATAAGCCCTATAAATGAAAGAAAATCTGTTAATCAGTGGTTTGCATTAAGCAGAACAAGTACATGTTCGATCAACAGCTCTCACCACCTAACTCTTTTTCTCTATATAAACCTTAAAAGCCTCCAATACCTCAGTGTTGAAATGCAGCCAAAGAACTGCTATTTTTTTATGAATAAGTACTTTGAAATTTTTGCTAAAAGAAGACTAAATTATTAGTCATTCACTCATTGAGAAATATCTATTGATTTCCTGCCACTTGCCAGACTGCAGATCACAATTTAGCTGTTTCTCACATGGCTCACTGCACTAGTCTTGATTTCAAGCAGGTCTTCTCTCCTTCGATCCATCCGAAATGTGTGCCAGTTATCTTTCCAAAACCAAAATATCACAACTGTATTCCTGTGCTTAAAATGTTCCTAGGCTTCCCACCACCTTTAAATGACAGTCCAAATATTCTACATTAGGCGTTTTCTGATCCAGATAGATGCCCAATTCTACTATGATAATTCTCTCTCTCTCTCTCTCTCTCTCTCTCTCTCTCTCTCTCTCTCTCTCTCGCATGCGCACACACACACACACACACACACACACACACACAAACACACACACGAATATTCTATAAAATTTCCCACATCAGTGTCTAAAGATATTCTGTTCCCTCTATTTGGGACTGCTTTTCACATGCAAATCCCTCAATTATCCATAATCCCTACTTTCTAACATCTACATGACTAAATCTACTCATCCTTGAAACACATCTCAAGAATCATGTTCTCTGGGTAAGTTTTACCTAACTCTTCCATACAAATTGTGGAGTCTGTCTCTTTTTTTCTCATTATTACCTTAGTAACCTATACTTAAATACTCCTAGCACAGAATTTATCATAGGACATTATAATTGCAAGGTTATTTGTTTCCAATACTAGTCTGTGTGCAACTATAATCATTTGCTAAGTGGAAGAATTTAGTAGTATTTAATATCAAATAAAGTTATCACTATCTTTTTTTCCCTTTTCTGTAACATTAAGGAGAAGAGCCTGGATTCCTAACAACTAGTCCAAAGAGTTCCTACAGTGATGGTGTCAGTTTCAGAACACTACAAAGAAACATTCCTAAACAGTAATTTTGCCAGGATGTTATCTTCAATGGCAGTGGATCACACCCCTCAATCTACACCACGATCTTCAGTTCAAGTAATTTAAAATCACCTGCCAAAACAGACACAAAGTAGCCCAACTCATCATTTTCTCAACTTACTTCTACCTTTTCATTTTCATTCTCTAAAATCTATGTTCTCCCTTGTATCTTTCTTTTCATATCTGTATATTCTTCACTTTTCAATCCTACTATTGATTTTTTTTCTTGAGTTCTTCTCTCTTTACTTTTTAAATGGAAACCTTACCAAGTTTCTTCCTCCCTCCACTTGCACATTCCATCACAACAGAAAACAAAATTGATCTGTGTCTTCCTTTTGAGCAGGCCATGACATCAGAGATAATACAGGGATCTTATTCCAATTATTGGTCTTACAAATATAATAAAACTTAATAGGAAGTCCAAAAGTTTATCACTTTTCTTAGATCTGCTAATTGAATCATCAGTTTACTTTTGTCAAACTCAGCCTTACTTATTGAAAAATACGACCAGAACTTTATCATTAAGCATGTAACCATGAAGAAAACCATCGAATGATTAAACATTGGCATATATGTAATAATTACTATTATGTTACTATAAAAACAATAAATATAGTACCAAAAAAGATCAGTTTCAATGGAAAAAAAACAGTAAGATTTTAAAGTAAAATATAATGGATATAAAATAGGTTACCTTCCTTCATTGACGAGTTCAATAAAAGCCAGGCCTGCATTCTTTTGAATAGAATTCTGCCACTCCTAAAAAAAAGCAGAAAATAGCTGAACAAATTTCACTCAGTAGGTTATTTTTTTAAAACAATTATGAATGACACCACTTATATCAATTTCATAGCTTAGCTCTTAAAGGAAGCATTTTATTAAACGAGCAGCCTGCCCAGTGCAGCCCATGAATATATGAATAGTTGGTATTAAAATGTAAACTAAACTTAGCAACAATGTGATTCTATGTAAACTAAATGATTCTATCTATATTTATCCTGCCTTTTTGTTCTACACCATTATACACTACTAATTTAACTGAAATTTTTGAGGGTTGGAAAGGAAAGCAGCAAAGGTGACCAAACACAGAGGTGTTTTTGTTTCGTTAAGAGATGCATCGCCCCAAATGAAGGGAAGACAGAATTCAATAGCAAATAAATTTAATAGTGAATATTCTACCATAAAATTAGTGATTAATGATTGAGAAAGAGACAACAAAAAGTTAGTGAATTTGGCCAGCATACTTTGAGGTGAAAATCTATAGTTCAGTAGCCTATAAATTAGCAAAAGATGATATAAATCTATTAACTATATTCTTTATGAATAAATTATCCATTAAAAAGCCGAGGAAGAAAATCAACCAGAATATGTACAAATGAATTTTTTTAATCCTCATCTCAAAACTTATATAAAATAAATATTAATGCAATCAGGGTAGGCCTACCGGAATTGAAATGTAGCTAGATTTGAGAAATGCCAATGCATGCATGCATGTGTTTTTGTGTGCGCACACACATAAAGACACACACATGCATGTATATATTTTTTAAAGAACTGGAAATGTATACATAATCTTTAAGTTCCTTGAAACTAAGGAGCCCTTTATATTCTACCAACATGATATGCCTCAACTGATCTTTTTCTGACTTTTATAAAGCTCAAAACAAAAGACAATGTTGAGGTCCTTACCATTGCTACCATAAACTATAGTCGCATTTTTTGAATGGAACACCTTTAAGAGTTTTAAATTCCATGTCATTTGACCCCACTAACCGCTGTGTGTCAAACACTAAATTCTTTGTTTCAGCCTTATCCTTTCTCTCCCACTTTCTCTTCTTCCTCATCTCCAATTTTGTATTATGTGCTTGTATGTTTTGAAAAGCCCAAGGTGGCTCTCAGGACTACAGTGACTACACGCCACAACTGATACAGGGGTCTCGTTCATGAGCAGTGCCACTAAGAACACAGTAACAGAACAGACACTGTGGAATGAAAATTAGATATAAAAGTCAGTCAGACATATGAGAGTAGTAATTGGCTAGCTCTAGAAGATAGGCAACGTGCTGTTGAGGAAACCAATCAACATGAAGTTATGAGATCTACGTTCTCAAACTGATTCTGACACTCACAGGATATGTCCACGGACAGGCTCACTTGATATCTCTTCATCTTAGATACCCCCTTAAAAACTGTCTACAAGCTACAGCATTTTATGATTCAGTAAAAATTAGTGACTCATAAGTCTACAGTATATACTCTTTCAAAATTCACACTTGCCACCCAACTGAAACAATATAATAGAGACCTTATATTTCTGAGGTAAACCAAGTCAGGAATAAATAGAAATTCTTGTCTAATTTAAAAGCTTTTCCTTCCAGCAAAATGAAATAAACAGATAGTACAAAAGAAATCAGTCAAATTCCATGACTGAGAATATCCCTAAGAGAAGAGCACGTGTCACACACTCGCCTTTTCTTAGGAGGAGGATGAAGGGAGAAAAAAGCAGAGACTGCAGGTAAGTTTTTGGATCCCGGTGCAGAAGGTCCCCACACCTCACCTCCCAGGCAGAGCGCAGGGAGATACCCAGTCTCAAAGAGTTGCCATAACCCAGCAAAGCAGAGGAACAGGAGATAGAGACAGATTCAATGTCAGATGGACCTAAAACAGCCTGGATATATCTCATGCCCTAGGAAGAGTCAGAAAATTATTCTAGAAAGATGTACAAGTAGCTAAGGATTTGAGGGCATGAGGAGAACACAGCTGTGACCTACGCTGATAGACAGCAGGGAATGGGAAGAGATGGTGGCACCTCAAGGGATGTCACAGTCAAGGAACAGCTGATTCCTCAGCTCTTACACCCAACAAAGCACTCTCAGCAAGCCACCCGGAAACCTGACACAGCACCAGGGTATGCCGAGGCAAGACCTGAAAAACTGACTGAATTTTCACTTAGATCACTTTTTCTTCATAGAAAAAAAGAAATCAGGAAGAAAGGTAAGGGGATATCCTATATATAATCCTTTACATCAGACATTGTTTTTTAAAAGATTTCACTAGTGTTATTTTTCTCAAATCAGTTTTGTTTGATCTAAAACTCCAACAAGTGGGGATTTTTATTATATGCCATATAAAATTCAAAACTACATGGATAAAGTAACAATGGAGAGACTCAAGTAGACAGGTAAACATTATTTTTATTTTATTTTCATTATTTCATACAAACTTTTACTTATAATGTAAAATCAAGAAGTGTACCATTTAAATTCACAAAGATTTGAAACAGCATGATTTAGGTCAGACAGAAAACTAGTTAAAGTTATTATAACTATAAAAAAATTAGATATAACTACCTAAAAATCATTCTGCCTTGAACATAACTTGGTATGTCACCCAAAATACTTTGTTTAACTTAAAAACAAATTAGACATGAAAGGATATACAGTAGTGGAAGAGTCCAAGTTTTTATAAAGGCTCAGAAACAAAAATGTATTACACCTAATATATTAGGTTTCTTGTTGTCCCAAGCATCACCTACAAACCCCTACTTGTTAACTTATAGTAATTGCTATCTAATCACTTGGAATAAAACTTATTCAGTAATTTTAAAAAGTTAAACAAAATGAAGTGAAAATGTAATTGTTATACTTTTGGATTTCGTCACAAAACTGTCACAATTCTCAAAGATATCAATGAATTTTAACTTGTCTATAATCCATTCCTAATTATAAATTACCAACATTTAATACAATATCACACACCAGGTACATAAATACATGCTGATAAGAATTAATAACCCAGATAAGAAACTGAAGCCCATGAGAATAGAAATTTATTTTAAATAAGCCCAACTGTAGTTAATGCCAACAAGCTTTCTCCATACTCACACTGCCTACAGTCCTTAAGGAAGTTGCCAAAACTGAAAAGATGACTCATTAATCGTACTATCCTAAAGCATTTTTCCCCACTTCTGAGATAATTATCAAAGAAGGCGTTAGTCTAAACAATTTCATAAACCACAGCTCAATATAACCTTTAGTGAGTTTTAATAGCTGAAAGAAAAGCTTAATGGTTATCGTCTTTCATGATCATTTCAATATTTCATCACAGTATTTACAATTTTATAGTGATGAAAAATGCATAGTACATTTAAAGGCCTTGGTTATTCTTTTCCCAGAGGTATTGATGAAAAACACGTTAAAAGCCTCAAATCCAACCACTAATGCAACTAAGTAATTTCAAAACACATTTCAGCACTTTGGAGAGGAAGGGCTCAGAGCACAATAACAGAGTCAATAATTTCATACCTGTTCTAAGCTGTATTTAATTGACTAGCACTTCCTAAGGCCATAATTGTTGACTAGTCAATTTTTACTAAAATATACTCTTAGCTTACTAATGCTCTTAAGTCATACAACAACAAGATGCTATATATTAGTAAAACTATTAAATAAACATGAAGTTACACTAAATTTCAAATTTGTGTTTTTGGTGGTAAAAGTCTGTTTTTTTGGTTGTGGTGGGAAAGTTCATTAGCAAAATTAACTCTCTTCCTCCTTTCCATCAACAAACAAATATAGAGAAAAGGGTATCAATTAAAATTCTATACACTCATTTATATTATCATAATACAATTCTAACTTCCTTAAAGTGAACTTGACAGTTTCCTAAAAATTCAATAACCTTTTACAACACATTATAGTGTCTTGAATGCACTACATGAGTTTACCTAAATTTTAAAAGTCGTTCCCATATTACTGTGCTCTAAAGCAAATAAAATCAGACCACAGATTGACAAGACAGACTATATGTACTCCATTATGCCATCTTTATTTTTGGAGAGGGCGGTTCAAGCCATCAATGTTCCAATAGATGTAGAATC